CTCCCTACCACCTCCCTGCATTCAGAACCATGGTCAGCCATGGCAGCACACATGACGGAGGACAGACTTTAGCGGCCCCAGAAATGACAAGTCCCAAGAGGTTACTACCGTCCCCTGGGAAGATGACCAGCCCAGTGCTGAGGGTGAGGTAGGCCCTGGAGCGAGGAAGGTAAAAGGCACATGGTGGGGCCGTGCCTTTGGCCCCATGAGGGTCTTTGCTGGCATGGTCAGTGATGTGACTCAGGCAGCTGAGCCAGCAATGGCTAGGTGAGCCAACACTTTTGCCTGTCGTGTTTGCCTTCACCAGGATACCTGTGGATCCCTAACACGTGATTTGGATCTGCCAGGATATCAATGTAAGGAGAGGAGGAGCTGACAACTGAACCACATAGGCGCAGGGACAATAGGAAGTGGCCTATAGCCTCAGGTAGGGATGGCAGGAGGCCACCTCACTTCTTATGAAATTGCTGCTTTTCTTTCCTCGAAAGGGCCCTCGTTGGCACAAGTGGCTAGACTCAGGTCCCTGTCAGTAAGGCATGGGTGGGATCTTAGAGGAGCAGCATGGCAGCCCCCTACCTGGCCACAGTGTTGGCATGGGGTGGGGGCAGGGAGTGCCCCTCCAGAGAAGGAAGGGAGGGGCGGTGATCTGACCCCGGGATGGGAGCCCCCACAACGCTCAGGCAAGTCAGATTTGAGGCACCTGTGAAGGGCTTGCATACAGGCTAAAGCTAGTGGAGGAAAGCCAGGTGTGCAGGTAGATGTGTGTCGTCTGTCCTTGACCAGAGCCCTGATATGGGGAGATGAGCTAGAGACCATGGGCATGGGCTTCGAGCCCACACCTAGTGGAGGGACTCTAACTTGTCGTGTGCAAGTCAGAGCCTCCCTGGTAATGAGCTGGCAGCAGACACCTGGCTGTAGGACCACCTGCTGATCCTGTGGGTCACTGAGTCTGTCCAAGTAACTGAGGTGGCCTGAGGCCCAAGGCCACACAGGAGCTTATGGCCCAGGGGCCTGTGCTGTTAAGTAACAATCTGCTCCTGACCCAGGCCCTTGCCCGTCTTTTCTCTGTCCAGTGAAACACTTCCTCAAAAGCGTGGAGCCCAGCGCCTGGCTCAGAATGGGCCTCCAGTTCAACAAGCCAAGCCATGTAGGGCACCTGCCCTGTGCTGGTCGGACAGGGAATATAAAGATGAAAAAGATACAGCCCTGACTCCCTCGATATTTGGGGTGGCCTGTTGAGCAACTGTGGACAACCCTGTTTATGGGTACTGTGTTGTGAGCCAAGATGGCAGCAAGGACCAGGAGTCAGGGGGGCCAATGGAAGAGGGATGTTGAAATGGGCTTCCCAGAGCGGTGACACCAGGATCATAATGGAGTTGGCCAGATTTGGGGAACAGTGGTGGAATGAGGGTAGTTAAACACAAAAGGAGGGGTGTGGAGAAGAAACACCATGTGGCAGTGGGGGCAGCTCCGAGCAGTTCAGGACAGTGAAAACTAAGTTGGGGGTGAGGAGGTAGGAGGGTGGATCTGGAGGAGACGTCTCGCCCCCTGGCTTCTGTGCATCAGAAGCTCCCCCAAATGTCTAGCATCTGGAGGGCCTACTGAAGGGCCCTGTGTGGACCCACCCTGCATTCTGGTGACTCAGGAGGGTGCAAACAGCATGGGGTGATCTCAGTAGCATGGGTGAGGCTGATAGGTCCAGATGCCGGGAAAGTAGTAGATGAAATCTTTCTGGACCGAAGGCCTCTGATTATCACCCAGTCTCTATCTGTGTCTTTCAAACCACTGCTTCCTTGGGTCGCACAACCACCATCGTTCCTCCCTATTCCACTGGGCAGCTTAATAAAAATACCATTAATGAGGTAGCTTATAAACAACAGAAATTTATTTTTTTCCATTCTAAAGACTGGGAAGTCCTGGATCAAAGCACCCAAAGATTCAATGTCTGTGAAGACCCACTTCTCAGAAGGTATCTTTTCTCTGTAAACTCATATGGTGGAAGGCCAGGCAGGGGGGTTACTCTTTGGGGTCTCAGTTATGGGGATGCTAATCCCATTTGACCTAATCATCTTCCAAAGGCCTCCCCTCCCAATACTATCACATTGAGGGTTAGGGTTTCAGCATGTGAATTTTAGGGGGACACATTCAGTCTAGCAGTTCCCAAGTGGTGGCCCCCATAGGCCTTACCCCACGTGCTTATGGGTAAGCTTGCAAACCTGTGTCCCAGTGTTCCTGTGTCCCTCATACGTTCACATGTCCTTAGCTTCACCTCTGCCTGGCCCAGACTCAAAGGAAATGTGCCCACAGGCATGGCCAAGGGGCCAGAATCTGGTACATTTCATGAAAGAGCAGAGTTTAGAACTGAGGGTTACCACACGGCCAGAATTGCTGGGTCATTAAGATGCTGCCTTCAGCCATATCCTTTTCTCCTTCCCTTGCTCTGGCCCAAACCCCACAATGGTAAATTACCTCTGGACACCTGAGCTTGTGTTTTAGCAGTTCTGGCCATTTCCAGCTGCTGGGAAGAAAGTGGCTGTAGGGCCAACCAAAAGACTAATTTGAATTGGTGAAGGACCAGTTCTATAGCTCTATGATGGTTGTTTTAATACAAGTAAGGAATGAAAATGTGCTGATAAGAGAAGTGTATCTAGATGTTATGGAAAGACACGTTTATGTCTATACGTAGAGGAGGTATGTAACACGTGCTTACCGTAAATGTGTATGTAGATCTGTAAAACAATATAGATATTTCGGAGAAAAACAATAAAAATACTTGTTCATACCCTGTTCCACCCATTTCCCCGAGGAAACCACTGCTGCATTATAATGGATGTCCTTATAGACATTTTTCTATGCACTTACATAATAAACTGATGCTTATATATGCGTATATTTATAGTTTGTTTTTTTCTTATCCAATAACTTGGTATTTTCACCTTGTTTCATTTATCTTTGATTCTTTTCCATTCTCTTTAACTGTAGCAGAATATTCCCAAAATGAATGTAATGTTCTGTTCTGTTAACGAGGGATATTTAGTCGTTGCCCTTTTTCCGTTACTACAAGTAGCCTTACAGCGAATCTCCTTGGCCACACAGCTTTGTGATTGGGTTTGATGTCCGATGAGTAAATTCCAAAATGCGGAGTAATGGAATCGGGGATAACGCACATAGAACATTTAGTAGATACTGCCAAATGTTTATGGATGGTTTCTATTTCTACTCTTACCTGTGGTGTGGAAGTGGGTTTTCACACCCTTGTCAGTACTGCTATTATTATTAAAACATGATATTCTAGTCTGATAGGCGGGATCAGAAACTGCATTTAAGTATGAATAACGTTGGATATCTTTTTGTATGTTCATTGCCACTGGCATTTGTTTTTCTGTAATCAGCCTGCTCATGTCCCCTGCCAATTTTTTAGTTGTAGGATCCCATATGTATTTTGGATATTAATAATTTGTCTGTTATGTAGGTTGCAAATATTTTCCTTTCAGTGAGTGGACTGTTTGTCTTTTACCTTTTTTTATGACATCTGTTTGCCCAAGGGAAGTCTTAAGTACTTATTTGGAAAAATCTGTAGAAGGAATTAGGGAATTTAAATGGATTTAAACTGGTGGTTGGGCCCTGTTTTAGCTATCGTTCAAATGTATGCATGTATATTCTGGTGGTTAATAAATCTTTTAGAAATTAAATGATACATGGGCACAACGATTTCTGTACATTTCCTCAGCTGGTGGATACTAAAAATACAACTATCATTGTGTAGAGAGTTCCAGAAAATCTGCGATGCTGCAAAGAGGTCCCCCATACATGGAAAAGTTGGGGACCATTGACCCAGAAGATGGACTTACATCTGCTTATAAGTAATTGATAAAGTCTATTAGTCAGGACTCATTTGGTTGAAAGTAACTAAAGCCCAATTCAAACTAGCTTAAGCAACAAGGGTTATATACAATGTTTATAACTGGGACATCTAAGAGAGGTCTGGCTTCAGCCACATCTGAACTCAAGGTCTCCAAGAATAGATGTCCTCAGCTCTCTCTCTCTCTCTGATTAAGTCTCTGCATGTCTTGGTCTGCCTTGTCTCTACTCAGCATCATTTTCTCCCACTGCAGACAGAGGCTCTCTGAGGAGGGACAGGTAGCTGGGGCAGCCCCGGGTTTCTGTTCTTAGAGATCGGTATACAAAAGAGACCCTTTTCTAGTGTGTGCACAGTGCCTCTGTCAAGCAAAAGGAAACTAATTGCCCCATCACTGTCCTCATTGACTTGGTCACATGTCCATCCACAGCTGGGGACAGGGACATGCGGAAGGAGCGGTTCACCCACAAAAAGAGGGGTGCTAGATGACAGATAGATTGCAGGGCCCACACATGACATCCGGAAGACTGGTGGGGAAAACCTGGCCTGGAGGCAGAGGAATGAGCTTGGCATGGGGCTTTGTCCACCACCTCCGCCTTGGGCGGCTGCCTCAACTTCCCACTTAGTACCAGGCTCCCTCCTCTGTAAAGTGGTCTTGTGAGGATTAATGAGTGATGCCTGTCATCGGGCTCCTGGGGACCTCAAGGTACAAAGCCAGTGATACCAAATGAGATCTGTCAGCACATCTGGTACTTCCTAGGCACTCAAGAGGTGATAGTTTTCCTCTCTGGTATTTACTAGAATTCAAAGGGTGTTAAGAATAAGGTAACCAGGCTGCACGAAGTTCTTCCTTTACCATCGGAGCAAAGCCCCTTTCTCCAGGGTGGCCCACCTGCCTTTGCACAGCTCATTACTGGTCGGGAAGAGGTAATGGCCTTGAGAAAGAGACAGGGCAAAGTGGGGGCTCAAGAAACAGTTCTTGATGAGAAGCTGACCTCTGGCTGGACTGAAGTCCACCCCAGTGCTGAGGGAGAAGAGTTACTCAGTGAAAATCCAGCTGTGCTCTGGGCCCCTGGGGCTGGCCTGGTACCCCACCCCGCCGTGACTGCACGTGTCATGACCTGCTTTGCTTCCCTTGCAGTCCACCTGACCCCAGTGTCCACAGCTAAAAATGGAGTGAGTAGCAAGAGTCGAAAGAGAGTCATGCCTGAGCCGGTGACTGAGCCCCCCGTGACGGACCCCATTTACGAAGCTCTCTTGTACTGCAACATTCCCAGCGTGGCTGAGCGCAGCATGGAAGGTAGGCCTGCCTGCGCCGCCCAGTGTGGCACCTGGGGACTGGTAGTTCTAGTAGTTCTTCAAGCAGCACAGCGTGGTAGGAAGGAGCAGGTGGCCTGGGCTCACATCCTGTAGCTGCTCACACCCTGTAGGCTGTGCCCTTGAATGAGTTCCCAGGTCTTAGCTTCCTCATCTGTGAAATGGGCATAAGTAGCAGTCCTTACTCACAAGGCTGCCCAGAGGCTTCCATAACCACTCTGGAATAACACATGGCTCACGAGAGAGACTCTGCACACATTCGCCATCATGGTTTCTGTTGAGATACCAGAGATGGAAAGGCAGGCTTTATGGACTCAAGGGCATCACCCTTGTCCACCCCCCTTTCCAGTACACTTTCTCAGGGCTTTGGACATCCACAGGATGCAGGCTGCTCTGTTGGTATCTTGCAGTAAAGGTGTAGGAAAATAGGATTTCTGTGTTGACTTCTGTTTTTTTTCTTTAAATGTATCAAAGAATGATATTGAATATTTTTATCATATTGTGCCCTGATTTGTTTTATGGAGCTTTATTTTATTTTTTTAAGTAGGCTCCACACCCAATGTGGGGCTTGAACTCACAACCCTGAGATTAAGAGTTGCATGCTGTCGACTGAGCCAGTTAGGAGCCCCTGTTTCATGGAGCTTCAAAGCAGAAGTCATTGTTTCCAGCCCTTCGTAGGCCTCCCCCAGGCTGTGGGTGTGAGAGGGGCTGCATGAATCATCGGGTCCCCATTTTACTGGCCGCCAGCTCCCAGCTACACTCCCAGAGCCTCCCTGTTACTTTGGGGGTGGGGGTGTCTGAGACCTAACTGGCCCTGTCTCCCTTCCTCAACCTTCCTTGTGAGCACCCCCCTCCATGGCACCCTGCTGCCACGCTCATCCGTGCTCTTCTGCAGAGTGGACAGGGTCCACACCTCCTGAATGCTAACCAGGCAATCTGCTCCTCTCCTACAGGTCACGCTCCACATCATTTTAAGCTGGTCTCGGTGCATGTGTTCATTCGACATGGGGACAGGTACCCACTGTATGTCATTCCCAAAACCAAGCGACCAGAAATTGACTGCACTCTGGTGGCCAACAGGTAAATTGCACTTTTTCTACAAGTTGTTTTTAAGAATCTGTTTTCTGTGTCCCAGTCAAAACACTGGCTGGAGAATAACAGAAAAGGGGACTGAGCCACTTGTCGAGCGCATCCTGTTTGCTGGGAGCCTGATCTTCAGAACAATCCTGCATGTTAATTGTCATTTCCCAGTGGAGAAAGAGGAGGCCCAGAGAAGCAAGGACAGCTGTGTAAGGCCACACAGCAGAGAAAGTGAGATTTGGGTCCAGGCCAGCGTGAGGTCTCCTGTCCCCTCCTGTGTTCTACAGTCTGAGAAAGAGCTGTGACATGGTGCAGTGAACACTGGGCCAGATGTCCTCAGACCCTGGGGCAGCTGTGGGGTTTGGGGCAGCAGGGAGGTCTCTCAGTCTCTGGGCCTCCTCCCTCATCTCTGCCGCGGGGATGCTGCCATGGACCGGTGCTGGGTCAGGAGGGAGTGAAATGATAGAGGAGAGCGTGCACACCAGCTGCAGAGTCATATACATGGAATTCCACCTTTTCATTTTTCGTGGGGTAGGAATAGCACGTTCTTGGTTGAGAGCCCTTAGGATGAAAAATAATTCAACAGATTGCATATGGAAAAGGTACAGTTTTAAAACGAGAGGCAGGGTTGGCACTGAAATGACGGGCCAAGCCTCAGCGCCATGTCTGGGAGCACCTAACACCCTTCACAGGGCAGAATGAATGAGCGGAGGAGACGGAGGGGAGTGCTCAGTGAGGAAGACATCATGCAGATGGAATGCTTCTGGATGCCAGCCTGCTCCGCGCAGAGCCAGTCTGGGGGAACCGTGGGTTGCCTTCCTGTTGCCAAGGTCTGTTCCTTCTAGTGGATGGCGGTGTGAACCCCAGGGAAGGGGTCTCAGAGTGACTCTTAGCATCTCTAGGCTTCTCACCATCCAGGATTATGGAGAAGAGAAAGTGAACCCATGAATAGAAACACATCCTGAACTAGCGTCTGACTGTAGGCTTTCCTGTGCTCCTTTCCTGCTGGAGGTCACAGAGCTCACAGTCTGGGTACTTGTGTCCTGTCTATATTTAGGAAGCCTGGGCACATGTCCCAGTGTCCCATGGGTCAGAAAAGCCTCTGGGTCGAAGGCCACACAGACACTGGCTTTCTTCCTCTGACCTCTAGCCTTCTGTGCCTGCCTTCCTGCTGGGACCTTCTACTCCTGCTCTGGCCCTTCTCGCCAGCCGCCTACCCCTTCAGGCCTTTGCCCCTGCTGTTTAGCTTGCTCGCCCCATCCCCACGTGACCCACTCCTACAGCTCCTCAGACACTCCCCTGAGATATTGCCGCCTCGGGGAACCTCTCCTGGTGTGTGAGGATGGCTTCTCTGGTTGTATCAGGCACTGCCACTAATAAGGGAGATTACGGCAAGGGTCTCAGAACAAAATATTTAATGACCAGTCCTGAACTGGCTTTAGGATGAGCAAGGATGGAGGCTCCTTGCTGTGCTGGGGATTAATCCTCTGGTGGCTGGATCGGGGGATGGTCCGGAGTGTCCGGGATGGCAGGAGGACATGGGGTGGGGTGCAGGGAAGGCAGCTCAGAGAAGTGGCTTTGCTCCACCAGCACAGACTGTGGGTATCTGCCCTTTGAACTGCCCAGGAATGGATAGGCCAAAAGGCCTCTTGGTTGGCCAGACTCGGGGCAACCTCAAGGACTCTGTGGACAGTACCATGTGTTAGCCCTGGCGGCTCGTGGCTTCTCTCCCCTTTCTCTCACTGGGCTTCCCATTCCCAGATGTGAGAATTCCGGTGGCTTGGTTCCGACCGGGGGTCTGTCCTCAGACCAGTCGTGTCCCTGAGCACTTCGAGGCTCTGGAGGTTACCCTAGCTGTTCCTAGAGAAGGCGCCCATTGGGGACGGCTGCCCGCCAGCATGCAGGGCCTCCCCTGTGCACTTCCATTCTTTGCAGTGTGTCTTCTAGCATGATCGCTTCTGCCCTTCCCACACCAAGAGGCTCCTCAAGGGCATTGCGTCTTGCTCCCTTATCAATGGTGCCCTGGCATGAAATAGTTGTTGGGCTAGCTTGGTTGCAGAGTGAATTCAGGACCTTCGTGTAAATCATGAGTCAAAATAACCAATCAGGTGCCTCATGATAGATTTCAGCCTCTGCTGTGGAACCCTCTGAGGCCCTCGTAACATTTCTGATAGAAGGCAAATCCCTTCACCTTTGTGAGCCTCAGTACTCTATCCTGGAATGTGGGGAAAGTAGTCCATCCCTGATCACAGCCTTGTGAAGTCGAACTAAGGGGAAGGACTGAAGCACTGAGCTGGTCATACTGAGAGGTGGACCCGTGATGGTGTTTCATTTCCTACAGTGGCCTGCAGGCTTGCTGGGCCCGGCCTCCTTTCTCCCCTGCAAGGTCGCGGTCATGAGGCCAGGTCCCAGGGCCCCTTATTCCATCACAGCCATGGCAGGATCCCCTGACATGGCCATTTTTGGAGTTCCCATTTGAGAGACACAGTTCCTGCAGGGACCAGCTGCTCTGGCTACCTCTGCCCTCATTTTCCCTGGCCTTGATCTTTTGACCTACTTCTATTTTACTGCACATTCTGTGTCTTTAGGAGCTGCTTGAAGACATCGGTGGAAAGAGGAAAGAGTATGCTTGTTTAATTAATTATTGTCCTTTAGTCCATCTTTAAAAGCATGAAGTTGACTTGTCCTTATAAATGCACACTTAGAGTGAGCAGGACTCCCAGGACGTGGCGCCACTTTGGGCTCCTGAATCCCCTGGGACTGTGGGGTCTTGGTCACTAGCCGCACCTGCTGCCTTCCCAGTTACTAGTTCAGCTTCACTAATCATTAATTTTTATGACCTCTGAAAGGCCATGGGTCCTAGATTGTGCCTGCTGCGCTAATCTAGTGAGAGGGGGTATCTGAGCCAGCAGGCAGGTTTTCAGTGAGCTGAGAATATAGGAGCTGACACCCATGCAGGTTGGTGGCCCCGGTGTTTCCCTTCACGGTGACACGTTCCGTGGCTCTCCCAAGTCTTTGCAGTGGAAGACTTTGAATGCCTTGTGCCTCATGACAAGGGTGCGATTTTCACTTTCCTAGAACGGCATTTAGCCAGCAGTAAGGTTATTAGTCATAGATACACCGTGTTTATTAAATGTAAAAAATAAAATTTACATTCACGGATATGAATTAGATACTCTTTTCTACATCCAAGGAAGAAAAGAATATTCACTTCAGTCCCTATTTATTCAATATGTTTTATTTTCAAACACCTGTTATGCATCAGGTATTGTGACGTGGTGGGCCCACATACCAGGAGATGGGATGTGGGCCAGCACCTAAATAAAATGAAGGAGCCTGGGGGCACCTGTGTGGCTCAGTGGGTGAAGCCTCTGCCTTCAGCTCAGGTCATGATCTCAGGGTCCTGGGATCGAGCCCCGCGTCGGGCTCTCTGGTCAGCGGGGAGCCTGCTTCCCCCTGTCCCCCGCCTGCCTCTCTGCCTACTTGTGACCCTCTCTCTCACTGTCAAATAAATAAAATCTTAAAAAAAAAAAAAAAAATGAAGGAGCCTGCCCTGTACAGATCTGGTGGAAGAGTGTTCCAGATAGAGGGAACGGCAAGTGCAAAGATCCTGGGGCTGGAAGAGCTGCTCAGTATGAGAACAGTAGGACCCCAGTATGTAACCAGATGGGAGGAGGAAGTGGGAGAGCAGGAGGCTAAAGATTCATACAAGAGAGGCTGTTCCTGGGCGCCTGGGTAGTTCAGTGGGTTAAGCCTCTGCCTTTCGCTCAGGTCCTGATTTCAGATACATTGTCCTGCTTGGAGATAGGGGTTCATTTGAGAGGTCACGTGTCCATGGCAGCTGATGCCATGGGTGACTGGTATCATAGAGCCTATGGAGCAAGGGAAGGCTAAAACAGGGTCCTGGCAAGCACCAACCTAGAACGTAGCACAGAGAGAAAGGAGGATCCCAGGAGGAGACACGGTGACTTTGCAAACAGGAGGCAATGTTAGGAGAGTTAAGAAAGGAAAAAGTTTGAAGAAAGGATGAGGGGCAATTAATCTAAGGTAGTGCACAGAGGTCCAGAAAGCCAACGACCAAGAAAGGTATATTGAGCTGATCTTTTTAGAATTTCATTTCATTAATAATATAAAGTAAATTCTTTCACATAAATTCTAAAAATGTATGGTATGAACTCATTCCAGTTTCCAGCCATGTAAGCTTTTTTGAATTGTGTCTTCTGATAAGAGTATCACTGGTGTTATACCTCTTCTCTGTTTTAATGTTCTGGCAGGACTCAGTAATTGCTCCGGTTATAGCTAAAGCACAGTAAATTTTCTCATGTTTGTATAGATTAGCCCCGGGGTTCTGTGTCAAGCTTCGTGGCACAGAGGGATGTAAATGATGTGTACAAAAATGTAAATAAAAACTCTGGAAGTGAATTGTATGAAGCCTTAAGATAGTAGCACCTTTAATTCTTTCAATGTTCAGTAGGCAAGTGGATTTCCAATGAGGCTGCAATGACATGAATTTTTCCTGGAAAAAAAAAATCATCATGACAGACATGATCATCTGTGTTAGTCAGACTAAGGCTAGCCTTTGGTAACAAAGAGACTGAAGAACACATTGCCTCAAATAACAAAGTTTATCTTTGCCTTGTGTGAGGGTCTGAGATGAGTGATCCAGGTCATATGAAGTGGCTCCACTTGGTCGTTTTGGTCCCCAGGTCCCTTCCAGTCATGGCTTCCATCATGCCCTAGGGATGTCTACATGACTGAACCTGATTGCTGCTATGTCTACCTAGTAGGCACTGGGAGGGAAAAGAATGCATGGGGCACCCCGTGACCTGAAATCCTAAACCTAGTAGAGGGATACATCCTTCCATTCTATTAGTGATACCATGTAGGGCCTCAGAAGTGGGATCTAACCCATTTCCCAAGAAGAGAATAGATTCTTTTTTTAAGATTTATTTATTTGAAAGAGGGAAAGCACACGCAAGTGGAGGGGGGCAGAGGGGAGAGGAAGAGAATCTCCAGTAGATTCTCCACTGAGCATGCAGCCCAACATGAGGCTCCATCTCAGGACCCTGAGATCATGACTTGAGCCGAAATCAAGGGTCACATGCTTAACCAACTGAATCACCCGGGCGCCCCAGAGGAGAATAGATTTTAGCATACCACTGTTAAAGAAAAACCAGAGCTGGACAGTAGTTAGTAGCAGTCAAAACAGATTGTATTCAGGAACTAATGCAGTAGGGGAAAAGAGATCTGCGTGTAGAACTGGGCTCAATTCCAAATACAACATGGGCGGTGGGAATTTATAGCCAAGGAGCAGGGTGGAGGTCAGTGGATGGAAAATGACGGAGAGGAGACCTCAAGGGTGAGGAGATTGCTAAAGGCAGGCCGGGGTGAGCAGATCCCACCTGGGGGATGAGGAATTTTTTTCTTTAGATGAAGATCAGATACCAAGAGCGAGAGATTCTGGCTAACTCCCACTTAGCAGGATTTTTGCTAAAACCAAGTGCACAAGTCCAAAGAATATGAAAGTCCAAAGGTTGAAGCCTAGTTGGAAAGAGGGTTCAGAGGAGCCTAACTATAGTTTACTCAAAGAGAGTCTTTGTCACAATTAGCAGTTCTGTTCATATTTCCATTGAAATATGAATATTCTAATAAACCAGGATAGGACCTTGCCATATTCACTGCTATGGGAAGCTTGGCCTTTTCGTGAAGCATCTTAGGATGGGGTACTTCCCAGTCGAATTCATTCACACGTGTTTTTGGATTATCTGCCTTGTGCCCCGTACCCTCTTGGCTGGGGGGTGGAGCTGAGGACTCGGCAGGTAGGACCTGGTCATTTCGATCCAGGACAGGCCCAGGGACTCAGGTTACCTCGTCCTCTTCTTGTTAAAAAGATCCGGCCATTTGCTCTCTCCTGTAAGTGAAGTTTTTCTTCCATGAATCACCATCTTTCCAGACCAAAACCAAATTGTCATATATACAGTTAGATGTTAGCATATCATTAAGCAGTCAGATGTGCTGAAAAGCTGGAATAGCTCAGCAAACACTTCCTGTAGTGAAATTTCATTCCTGAAATTGGCAGCAAAGCCTTCTCAGAGCCTCAAAAATCACCAACCTGAAATAATGGCCTGGAGCAGAACATTTGACTCCTATTGATAGATAGCTTTGTTAACGTGGATTCATATTGGCAGCCTCATTGTCAGTCTGGAACTCTTAGTCCCCAGTTTGCAAATATTTATGTGATTTAGCCCCAGGAATAATAACAGACCCTCTGTTTTTATGGAGAGAACCAGTGCCCTGCAGCAATCCAGGATGATTAGACTACACTGTGTCCGGGTAAGCATTCTCTAATTTTAAAACATTTTTTTTTTAAAGATGGGCTCTTTTTTAGCATTATGTTTTGGAAAGATAGAGCATTTTAGCAGCCAGAGTTAACCGGGCTTTCAAACAGGAGAGGTCTGCCATTAGAACAATTAGTCTTAGCTTCTTTTCATGCTGATTTAGCTTACCTGGGAACTCATCTTATCTGCTCACTTCTGTTCAGCTGGAAAATGTGTATACATTCATCATAGGCCATTTCATTATTCAAAGAAAAGGTGTGTATATTCATAGGTCATCTCATTATTTGGAGAAAATGTGTACGTATTTATAAGTCATTTCATTATTCAGGGAAAGTGTATATTAGCAATCAGAAAGATGAATTAAATCTTGATTTACCCCCTGTATTTCATGGCAGAAATATAAGTATTATTTTTAATAGGTATTTAATAGGTATTATTAAAGTTTTTTTTACATCTTTGTTACATCTTTGTTACCACCCCACATAAAATGAGATACTGTATGTGCAAAAAGCAGAGTGAACTGTAGAGAGCTGTAGAGATCTTGGTTCACAGTTTTCTTCAAAGGAGATTTCTCCGAGGTGAGTTAAAAATTCCTGAGGGTGAAGTCTGAGGTGGGTTTGCTAGGAGGAAGGGGCAGCGTGGGGAAAGTCTTGGACACAATAAAGAATAAGGTGTGTTGGGGGGACAGAAGGCACTTGGTTATGTGGGACTAGAGCCCAACATTAGAAAGGAAAGGGAGGGGGTCCCTAGCCTCAAAGTGAGGTGGGGCCAGGACAGAGTACTAGGCCACGCACCAGTCCTGGGAGCAGGGGGCGGTGCACAGGAGCAGGGAGAGCCGGCCTGGCTTTTAGGTAGATGTCAGGCTGTGGAGAAGGCAAGATTAGGCCACAGGTAGGCCAGAAAGGAGCCCATGCCTTCCAGACAAAAGCTGCCTGTGCCAGAACCCGGGCAGTGGCTGCAGGGGTGCAGGAGAGAGGGGCAGAGAAGCCCCAGGAGGACACAGCTACAAGATTGGGTGGCAGATGGCATGCGTGGGAGCAGGGGAGGGAGAAATCAAGGAGGACTCCCGGCCTGGGCGTGACTGTCTGGGGGCAGTGGGTAGCCTCCCGAGGAGGGAAAAACAGGAGGGGGTGCAGGTTGGGGATGTGGGAGGTGGAGGGCAAAGCTGACTCCCCCAGCACCCAGGATGATGGATGCTGTAGCAGAGGTTAGAGGCCCATGTTGGCCCCATCGAATGTCAGGGGTCGGGCAGTATTGATACTGGAATTTCAAGGGTTCCTGAGTGGCTCAGTTGGTTAAGTGTCTGCCTTCAGCTCAGGTCATAGTCCCAGGATCAAGCCCCACATCAGGCTCCCTGTTCATCGGGAAGCCTGCTTCTCCCTTTCCTTCTGCCTGTCACTCCCCCAGCTTGTGTGCTGACTTGCGCACTCTCTCACACACAAATAAATAAGGCCTTTTAAAAAAAAAAAAAGGTGATTGTGCCAAGGGCGCCTGGGTGAGTCAGTCAGTTAAGCTTCAGACTCTTAATTTTGGCTCATGTCATGACCTTGGGGTCCTGAGATCCAGCCTGGTGGCGCTGGCCTGGCAGGCTCTGTGCTCAGCAGGGGATCTGCTGCTCTCCTTCCTCTCCCTCTGTCTCTCCCCCTGCTCCTGTGCATGCTCTTTCTCAAAATAAATAAATAAAATCTTAAAAAAAAAAAAAATCAAAGTGACCGAGCCAGGACCTGTTGTTATGGATGAGCAGGGTTTCTACTGGCTGAAGTGGAAATCCTTGTGGGCTGTTTGGAAGCATAGTGACCAATGATTCTCTGTGTTCTCTCTGTAGGAAACCGTATCACCCGAAACTGGAAGCTTTCGTTAGTCACATGTCGAAAGGATCTGGAGCCTCTTTCGAAAGCCCCTTACACTCCCTGCCTCTTTACCCCAATCATCCACTGTGTGAGATGGGAGAGCTCACTCAGACAGGTACGTGTGACAGCCTCGGCTTACCCTGTCTCCTGTGCCCTCCTCCATGTGGCATACATTGGAGTGAATGCTCCTGGGCAAGGCACTGTGGGCTTACAGGGACAACTGAGGACTGGCACCTCAGGCCAGAGTCAAGCACCTGAGTCCACCAAGGTATCTAAGTAAACCTCCAATTTCTAAAAATTAAAAATAACCCTTTTTCTTAGTGCAAGAGCAGTATATGGCCATGGAAGAGAAATTAGGAGACAGTTGAGCAAAAGGAAGAAGAGCTTAAAGTACCCATAATCCCAATCCACTGAAGAAATCAGTCATCCTTTTTCATTTATGTGCATGCACACATGCACACACAGTAGCATTTTACTAAGCACACTCTTTGATAACCCACTTTTTCATTAAACAGTACATTCTGATCATCTTTCCCTATTGATAAACATTGGTTAACAGCATCATTTCTGGGGTCTACATATTAATTATCCCATTATTGCTGGACTATAATTGATATAACCAATCCCATGTTCTTAGAAACTCCAAAGAAAATGACCTGATAAGTTTTCGTGTGCAAGATCTCAGAAGCAAACGCGTGGGGTGGATCCCTAGTGAGCATAGAGTTGGGCTGAGTGTGTCCCTCCCAGAAGCCCAGCTTTCCCTCTGCAGCCCTGCTCGTACCCTCACACAGCCAGTCCCCTGTCGGGGCAGGTTGGCAAGTTAACCGTGGGGCTGCCTCCGTTAGGAAGAGAAGGAACTGGGAGGCCCCCAGTAGGTCCTAGCTTCTTCCTACTTCAGTCTGGGACCTCAAAGGACCTTTGTGTGGTCACCAGCCTTTTTGGGAGAATCGGGAGGACCTATTGGCCATGTTGTTTCCTCGTCCCACCAGTACCATGGGACCTCAGCTCCGATGAAAGGGAGGTCTGTGTTCTGTAGTTGGCCCTGCAGAGTTTTGCCATGTTTTAGAAGCCATTATTATTGGGGAGAATATGGTGACAGACTGGGCTGAACTGAAGGCTCTGGAAGACTAGCCTTGAATAAGGAGTTTTGTCAAAAGCTTTTGATTATCAGTTCCAGGTGCTCAAGGTCTGCAGTAGTTTAAAACAGGAGTTTTGCATCCAACCAGACCAACCACCCCCGTTCTGTAACAAGTATCTTGTGGTGCTCCCTTAACCCTCCTGAAGTGAAATTCAAATATAATTAGAACCTTTCTAGTTACAAAATTGTAAAGAAGAGCAGTTATATCAGGTACTCTAACTATAATATAAAGGAGAAACAAAAGGAAATGAATTTATTATACAATGCTGTATGTTTCAGTATAGAAGTTTGAGCACACTCTCAGTAGGAAACAAAATGACACAGTTGGTTGTTTATGCTTAAATGTAGATTAACAACTGTGACTATTACAAATGCAGACCAAGGGATATTATATTGGGGACTCTAACACCACATTTGGGGACATGATTTTTTTGACAAGTTCTGATCAAAATAAAATACAGATGTCCCTTAATTTCTCTTGTATTTCTGGAAAAAAATCAGTGGGCGTTAATGTTGTGTAAAAATGATTTTGTATTTATGACACAAGTTCTAGGCTAAAGTATTTAAACAGGTTTTTCACATGTGGTAATATCTTGTAGTACTGTCAAAAGTGGGTCAGAAAACAGTTCTTTGGGGAGACTGTCTAGCTCCGTGGCCCCCACCCAGTAGGTGTTCGGAATGTTCCTCCCTGTATCACTGTGACAACTCAACCCCAAACCCTCCCTGACAGCAGAGCCACGCTGGTTGAGAACCACTGGTTAGACCCTCTGGTAGCAAGCGACAGAAACCAACTCCAGCAAAAGATGGACATTTATTATATGGATTCAGGGTGACTCCAGACTCTAAAGGCAAGAATATGACCAGGCCTCCAGAGACTGGAACCAGGAATAAGAAATCTGTCTGTCCCAGCCCTGTAGTTTTGCTTTGTGTCTCTCTACAGTCGGACCGTCCTAGCCTTACCTAGAAACGAACGGCAAGTCCAAATTCTTGAGAGACAGTGAGAGAAAGAAAATCTGGCAGGGTCCTTCAGGGGTCAGTGTCCATCAGCTGGCTCAGAGGTCATGGGGACTGTGCACTGAGCAGTGGGGGCCTACCCAGCCTCTCAATCCAGGGGCTGTTCCCCGAGAAGAGTTGGGGGAAGCTGGCCCTCACACATTTAGAGACGCTCATTCATTCCTACCTTCTCAGTCATTCTATTATCTACATCGCTTTCTAAATCAACATTACTCAAGAAATCACTTTCACGGTACTATTTGCTCCTGTTCCCTAATTCTCTTTTAATGCTCACTTTTATCTTCTATTTTAAATTTCATTAAAAATGCATAGCTGTTAGAATAACCATTTATAACTGAAACACTTTTGGCGCCCCGCAGTAACTGTGGAGGCCTGATCATTAGTGCCTACTCTTATTCAAGATGCTTTGGCAGCTGCTGAGTGTGGAGGGGTGGGGAGCGGCGGGATGAACAGATGCTCCCCGCCTTGTCCCAAAGGAGCCCGCACGCAGCTGCTGCGGGACAGCGGGCATGGAGGTGGAGGCGACTCATCATGCTACTGCAGGCCTGTGGAAGAAACCCAGGCTGTGGAGTAGAAGGGGCCCATGGGACGGACTGCAGATGCCCCCTCCCCCCAGGGCTGGTGGTGAGTGAGATTAGCGTGTGTCAAGTGCCTGTCATGGTGCTAGCATGTGCTGGGCTGGGCATTCACAGCCCAAGTCCTGGAGAGCCCGTGGAACCGGAACAGGAAGGAATTCTTGGTCTGACCTGGGGGAGGAAGAAGGAAGGCCACAGAGCAGGCCCATATTGGAGCCAGGCACCAGGTAAGGATTTCTCTAAGCTGAGAAAGGCGAAGGGCATGACCAAGGTCCTAAAGATGCAGGCTGGGTTTGGAGACATCAAGAGGCCCAAAATGGCTAGAACTTTATATTTCTGCCTGAAAAGACAGGGGAGAAGGTGCTACGAGCAGGGACTAGGAGGGCAATGTTGGGCCCACATGGTGCTGAGTGCCAGCTCTGCGACCTCTTAACAGTGATTGGCTCAGGGCCTCGGTTTCCTTGGCTGTAAAATAAAGAAAATAGAAATAATAATATGCCTACTTTATTGGGTTTTTATGAGGTTGAATGGAAAAAGGTCTGAACATGGGAAGCACTCAACCCTAAGATATGCAACCTGGAGATATAAGGCAGGCCCAGAGGCCAATGGGGGCCAGACATAGATTCTTAATGTTTGTCATCAGGTTTTGTCTCTTTTTGCAAACCATTTTGGAAATGCGTAAGACCTGTGTCGGCCCAGATCTCTGAAGGAATTCTGTGCTCGATAAACTTCCTTCAGAATGGGATGCAGACGTCCTTTGTAATGTTTTCCTGAGCTGTTCCCCTTCCTGGGCCAGTGCCGTGCCTTCTGTCTCACACATCTCAGCCTCGAGTTGTCCTGGGTTTTCACACAGTTTGGACATCTGAATAAGCAACATTGGTCATGACCTGGTCGGGGTTGGGGGCTGTGTGTGGTTGACCCTCAGAGAATGCAGATCTGTTACTGGGATTCCATCCCCCACATCCTGCTGCCTGGAGGGTAAGCTTGCTTTCATCTGGGATTGCCTTCTCCTACTTGCAGATAAGGTTTTTCTTTCTTTCTTTCTTTCTTTTTTTTTTTTTTTTGTTTCCCCAAGATAATTTGTTACCATACTGGGGTAGTTCAAGACTAAAACTTTTTAAACTTTTAGTTGGCAGGTAAATTTAAAATTCTTGTTCCTATCCATGTTCTATTTGCCATTTCTGTACCCCTATCTCCCCAGGTAATACCAGTTTCTTATGCATCCTTCCAAAGTTTCTTTATGTAAAACACAAACAACTGCAAATACACATTCTTATTTGTCCCTCATTTTTATTTAAAAGGAGTATAATAAATGTACTATTCTGCACTTTGTTTTTCCCAAATACTCTATCCAGGAGTCTGAAAGAGCATTCCATATCTCCACAGACAGAATGTCCTTGATGAGCAGGTAATGCCCCAGGAGGCTTAGGCAGAATGTACCTAGAAGGTTAGCAGCAAGCCTTCACTTGGGAGAGTATGGAGAATGAGGCAAAGGAGAGAACCCCCCAACAGTGAGAGGACTAAGCAGCCAGCAGCACCTTTTTCTCTTTAGCTCTCTGATTTCTGTGGGCCCTTCCTGCACACTGAAGAATACTGTGTCCCTGGGGAGGAGGAAGAAAGCTCTTCTTAAGCCCATGCCAGTTACAGCCTTGACATCTGCCAGGAGGCTCAACAGCTGCCGTCTGAGGTCCCCCGGTCACAACGCCTCCTCCCAGGGAAGGGAGGGATTGAGCAGATGGTTCTAGTGCTCCCCTCTGCTCATTCCTTCCTGGATAATCCCAAGGGGCTCCCCTCGTGAGTTCACACAAACCCATTCCTGTAGCTTCCACATGCTGGTTTTGATTATATTCCCATGCACAATGGAAAGCACTGCAGAGTCGGCCCCTGACTCGGTCTCCCTTTGCTACTGCTCCTGCTGAGCTGGTAGTGAGGACAGTTTGTGTCCCTGTGTTTCAGGAGTTGTGCAGCATTTGCAGAACGGCCAGCTGCTGAGGGACATCTATCTAAAGAAACACAAACTCCTGCCGAGTGACTGGTCCCCAGACCACCTCTACTTGGAGACCACTGGGAAAAGCCGGACCCTACAAAGTGGGCTGGCCTTGCTTTATGGCTTTCTCCCAGATTTTGACTGGAAGAGGATTCATTTCAGGCATCAGCCAAGCGCTCTGTTCTGCTCCGGAAACTGCTATTGCCCCATGAGAAACCAGTACCTGGAAAAGGAGCAGCGTCGGCAGTACCTCTTACGTCTGAAAAACAGCCAGCTGGAGAGGACCTACGAGGACATGGCCAGGATCGTGGACGTCCCCACCAAGCAACTTCGCGCTGCCAACCCCATAGACTCCATGCTGTGCCGCTTCTGCCACAACGTCAGCTTCCCATGCACGAGGAACGGCTGTATCGACATGGAGCACTTCAAGGTGATCAAGACGCATCAGATAGAGGATGAGAGAGAGAGGCGGGAGAAGAAGCTCTATTTGGGCTATGCGCTCCTGGGCGCCCACCCCATCCTGAACCAGACTGTCAACCGGATGCAGCGTGCCGCGGAGGGCAGGAGAGAGGAGGTCTTTGCCCTCTACTCTGCTCATGATGTCACTCTGTCACCGGTTCTTAGCGCCTTGGGCCTGATGGAAGCCAGATTCCCAAGGTTTGCAGCTAGGTTGATCTTGGAGCTCTGGCAAGACCGAGAAAAGCCAAGTGAGCATTCTGTCCGGATTCTTTATAATGGCGTCGATGTCACATTCCACACCTCTTTTTGCCAGGACCACCACAAGCATTCCTCCAAGCCCATGTGCCCCCTCGAAAACTTAGTCCGCTTTGTCAAGCGGGACATGTTTGTGGCCCTGGGGAGTAGCGGTAGTACTAATTATTACGACGCATGTCACAGGGAAGGATTCTAGAAGGGAGGCAGTGCAGGGCTGATAGAATCTATGCCAATACAGAGGGATGGGAAGGGTCCACTTCTAGATCTGTCCATTGTCAAGGGTATAAGACTATTGATTTATAAAGGCTAGAAATCATGTTTGAGCCATGTGGATGATTGGGTTGAACGGGAAGCACATTGCTATAATTGGGTTCGTGGGTTACTTGGTACATCACGGCCAGTTCATAGAAAGAGGAAGGTACTTCCGTCGTAGCCTGACTTTGCTCATGATGCCACAGGGTATGTCAATACCCAGAGCTGCCAGTCCATATGTGTAGTATTTCGATCTGCAGGGGTAGCATATGATGGAACCAGCAAACCTCAACCAAAATTTTCTTCATTTGGGGTGGTTTTGCCTTGTTCCTGTTCAGCAAAACCATTCCCAAAGTGATTTATCTATAAATAGGGGTTGGTACATTTTTCCCGTACAGGGCCCCATAGTAAAGACTGTGGACTCTGGGGTCCCAGAGGCCACATACAGTCATGTGACGTGAAAGCAACCATAGACAGCATGGAAACAAACGAGTGTGGCTATATTCACAGCCCGAGTTTGCTGACCCCTAGCTCAGAACACAGGCTCAGCTACATTTGCACTTCCAGCACTTTGAGAACCAGTTGAGTACAAAAAATTATTCAGTGGTGCCTCCAAGAACTTCTGCGAGAAACACCGAATTTGCTCTGTAGCTGGTGTGATAACAAAACTTGAGGGGAAATAAAATCAGAATGAATCGTAGAAAAATTATTAGAATAATACTTGATGTTCACGATGATTATGGTAGTTATGTTTTAAATATCTGTCTGCTGTAGTCTATTTGCTGTATAGGCTGAAATTTTTGTATTCCATTTAGTATTTTTATAGTCTAGGGAACTATTTTCTAAGACCGGTTTTAGATGTGCTCTTAGTCCTAGGTAAAATTCAATTTACCATACCTGCTTGGTGGTTAGAAGGAAGCTAGAAGCTGAATTCAGGCACTTTCTTCCAATAAAACTAATTATGGCTTATTCCCTCTGACAAGCTGTAGAATTGGATCAATTTTTAAACCGTCTGCATCAATTTCAAATGGTAAATTCTAATTGATTTTTAAATAAGCTTTTGGGAGAACTTTGTTATAGATAGCTAAATAATCTTTCTAAGATATTTTATATATTAGAAGCAATTGTAATTAAATCTGTGGTTTCTGAACTAAAATGGTGCTAGTTCCATGTGAAGAAATGTAAAGTGCAAGTGAGATTCTGAAGTGTCTTTGGTATTCCATACTTTCCTCTTTGTTTTTGTCTAATGTTGCCTTTGGATACGTCTGTTTCTATAAATAAATTTTTGAAGAATACTCGTACATGTAAGTCATGGTTTGTACCTACAAGGCATTCTAGTTCTCTTCAAGTAAGTTCCCAAATTTTAGAAACTTATTTATTTATTTATTTAGTATAAGTAAAAATGTTTAAATTAAAGAACTCCCTGGTATGCGTGGAAAAGGGAGGCCAGGCCATGCTGGCCCACCAGAGATGGAGGAAAGGGACAGCAGTGTTGGGCCTGGAGGGCCAGGGCTTCCAGCTCTGACAGCAGCATCCGGGCTCCGTGGGTTGGGAGGCCGTGCACAGATAGCAGCCTTGGCGTGGTTTAAAATCTATCTTAACTCTTCCTTTTATTGCTGAAAATCACGTGTTGTCTCTTGAATAGTTAAAACTGTTGTTTTTTGATCCCACTCTCAGTATATCCGAATTAGAACTGCTAAACACAGCTTGAAAATGTAAAACTAAAAGTGGATCAGAAGATATTTTAAAAATCAGATTGAGGGGCACCTGGGTGGCTCAGTCAGTTAAGCATCTGCCTCTTGGTTTTGGCCCAGGTCATGATCTCAAGAGTTGTGAGATGGAGCCCTGCCATGTACATCAGGCTCTCAGGCCCTGGGTTCAGCAGGGAGTCTGCTTGAGATTCTCTCCCACCCGCCCCCACCATCCTTTCCCTACCCCACCCCCTGCTCTTGTGGGAGGAGGACCCCTCTCTCACTCGCTGTCTCTCAAATAAATCTTTAAAAAGAATCAGTTTGGGGGCACCTGGGTGGCTCAGTGGGTTAAAGCCTCTGCTCTCAGCTCAGGTGATGATCCCAGGGTCCTGGGATTGAGCCCTGCGTCGAGCTCTCTGCTCAGCGGGGAGCCTGCTTCCCCCTCTCTTTCTGCCTGTCTGTCTGCCTGCTTGTGATCTCTGTCTGTCAAATAAATAAATCTTAAAAAAAAAAAAAAAAAAGAATCCGTTTGAAACAGCTATTGGTAAAGGTAAATATGTTGGATATTAAAAGCGTAGCTAAAGGTTTCGCCTCCCAAGACCTCAGGTGTGCACATCATTTACATATCTTCCTCAGTATTAAGTTCCAAGACCTCTCACTCCATAAACAAACACTGATCACTGAGCTGAGATTAATGCATCCAGTTCTTGGTTTCTGGACAGTGGTCTTGATGGCTTAGTTCATGGCAGGTGTGGGTGTGTACATGTGCACATTCAGCTTTCTTGTTTTTATGATTAAAATTAATACACGCACACTGGAAAACAATCAGACTATACTGAAAACAACTTCAAAAGTGAAGTTCTCTTCTATTCCCACCTCCAGAGACAACACTGTGGGATATTTGACAGATATTCCTCCAGAAATTTTCCACGCAGATGTGAGATTGAGTTCGGCATCAGGCTCCAAGCTTAGGGTGGAGTCTGCTTAAGACTCTCTCCCTTTCTCTCAAGTAAATAAATCTTTAAATATCATTAAAAATGAGTGAAACTGAAACTTAAAACCAAGGTACTAGAATGGGGCCACATGCTTTTGAGGTACACAGAAGGAGCAGAAGCTAGCAGCTATGTGTGTTAATTTTGTAGCCCAACTGAGTAGTTAACCCTTTTTCAGTACTGCGAGATAATTATTAATATACTAGAGTATTATTTGTCCACTTTCACTTATAAACAGAATTGAAGAACTCTATACTGCTATTAAGCCTGCTTGAGGGTCTTTGAAGCCACAGCAGAATTGGGCTTTGGAAAGATGTGACTGATTCCTCTCTCTAGGACCCCTATACTGAGACAGGAGAGGCGGGGATGCGTGCTTCCATCTTCAGGAAGCCTGCACGGATGCAGCAGCCCAGCTAGTGTGGGTGTAGCCCTGTGTGTTTAAACATAGCCACAAGTCGAAAGCCAAGAACAGCCAGGGTTTTTAGTGCGGTTCTGGCTTGGACAGTGGCCAGAGTTCTAGCCCGGGCGCCAGTTAGCCGCCATTGCCCAAAGCCACTGGACTAAATGCTGGGCTTGCACCCCTGTATACTGTCTGTCCTGTGACCGTCTCATGAATAATAACAGCTTCTGCTTAAGAGGAACCCACTGAATGCCTAGAGTCTGCTCAGGCTTTCCTGGCCTCTACAGTCCATCTGCCAGCTGAGCCTGGCCTTGAGGAGCAGCGGGTGGCCCTGGAGGGTCAGCTTGGCTCCACCCAGAGCTGCAGAGCCCCTCAGCATGGGGGCAGCCTGAGGCCTGGCATCTGAATAACAGCACTGCTGTGGGCTCTGCTTCCCTTGAGGGGCCCCACAAGCATTTCTTTATCAGTCCCAACAACCCTCTCCAGAAGTTCCTATTACCCCTCATACAAATGAGGAAAGAGGCTGAAGTTGGTGAGAGGGGGGCAGGGGATGAAGTCACTTTTCCAAAGGAAAACTCAAAGCCTAGAGGCTAACTAACCCAAGCGTCTATGACCCCCATGAATTTGACAGTGTGTGTGCTGCGTGACCCACCGGAGCTTTTCTTAGACTAATTTAATCCTCCTAACCACCCTACAAGATACCATCTTTGCTGATGAATATCAAGTAGTACTAAAACAGAGTGGGGTTACAACTGTTATAAATTTAAATCTAAATGAACAGGAGACTATTCCAAAGGTGCCCCTGACCATCTGTGGTTGCTGTTTTTGTTAAGAAAAAACCACTTATATAATGTAAAACTAATTTTGGCTGTGATGCTGTATTATATTCAGCCTTTAGGAGATAGCATGAAACATCATTTTTAGCCTTCAGGACCCAGTCTGGTATCTATAAAGGAGATAGGGTAGTTTGGGGCTGTGTTTTAATAGGGAGGCCAGCTGTTTGCCTGGGACTGATGAGTGTCTCAGCATGCAGGACTCTCCTTGCTAAAACCAAGCAAGATCCAGGCACACTGGGATGGGCTGGTTGCGTGGTGTGACATGAGACGCGTTTTAGGAAGTACCACCATTCCCAATTCTGAGAGACAGGTTAAGTCTGACGGAGTGACTCAGCCAAGGTTTCCCGTGCCTAGCGAGTGTGCGCCGGGGATGGGACTCCAAAGCTACTGTCCATGTTCTTAAGCAGGACTTGACGGTGGCTCTCAGAACTATTTAGGACTCTGGGGTTCCATGCGACAGAAACCTGAATACAGTAGTTAAGCAAACTAAGCCTTTCGTTTTCTCCAGTGGCCCTACCATTTCATCAGGAAACCAGACTGCTGTTTACATCTTACTGGCCAGGAGAGTGTCCCTTGGCCCACCTCCACTGCAAAGGAATCTAGGAAAGTATTTTTGTTGGGCACATTGCTGTCTCCAATCCGGCCCAGGGAGAACCCTGAAGGGCCACCCCAACTTCAGTGTTCCCCACAGGGTCAGCACAGTGCACTTCTGCCTCCCCTGCTGTCTTCCATTCCTCCGCAGTGTTGGCCCCAAGAACATTCCCTGGTACACTTCCCACACCCATCCCTATCTGAGTCTGCTCCTGGGAAACAACTTGCAGCAGAGGGCAAGCAAATCCTAGGGCCTGAGGCCTCTGCAAGTCAGGGCAGAAAAACTAGTGTCATTTACTTGAAAGGGATAACATATCTACTGATTACAAATTTCTTCTATCACTGCCTTTGAGGGGCTTATTTTATTGTGGAAGTTAAGTAAGCACACAAGAAGCGGTAGGAGAAACTTGATCCTGAACAGCCCAAAACTGATTACAGAGAGCTGTTATACCAAGATTTCCCATTTACTGAACACACACCAGGGGCTGGACACTGGGCTAAATAAGCACTCAACTGACCTAGACTTTATGTCTTACAAGATGTGTAAGCATTTTTTATCTTCACTGTGTTGGTGAGGAGACTGAGGCTCAGAGGAGGACATCTGCCCAGGATCCCACAGTCAGTAGAAGGTGGCAGATCCAGGGCTGGAACATGGCTCATCCCAGACTACAAAGTCCTTCCAGCTCCCTGGCGCACCGCTTCCTCTGCCCCCTTACTCCACCACCCTTATAAAAGCAAATTAGCAGGGACACCTGGGTGGCTTAGTTGGTTAAGCCTCTGCCCTTGGCTCAGGTCATGATCCCAGGGTCCTGGGATCGAGTCCCACACTGGGCTCCTTGCTCAGCGGGGACCCTGCTTCTCTCTCTGCCTCTGCCTACCATTCTGCCTGTTTGTTTAAATAAATAAATAAAATCTTTAAAAACAACAACAACTCAATGAGTTCAAAAAGAAAAGGGCAAATTAGCAGAACCTGAAACGGGGGATATAGCAGAGTGGACCCTAGCCCAGGGAATGATCTCTGCTACATTCATCTTTCTAGCTCCTTTCCTTTCTCTTCCCATTTTTAATAAAGACTGTATTTATTTGAGAGAGAGAGAGAGAGAGAGCGCATGAGCAGGAGGGAGGGAAGAGGGAAAGGGAGAAGCAGACTCCCCACTGAGCAGGGACCCCAAACTGGGACTCAATCCCAGGACCCTGAAATCATGACCTGAGCTGAAGGCAGATGCTTAACCAACTGAGCCACCCAGGTACCCCTCTTCCCACTTTTTTCTAATGCAACACTTCCAAGGAAGTAGGATCACCTTACAGTGGGTTGTTTTAGCCTGGGTTCTGAAAGCTGCCTGAGAACAAAATCTTAAGTGTAGATGTTTATCAGGGAATGTGGTCCCAAGGAGCAGAAGCAAAAGACAGGGAAGGGGACAAAGGGGAGAGGGAAAGCTACAGGGAAGGGGACAAAGGGGAGAGGGAAAGCTACAGGGAAGCTGCATACTGAGCTGATACGGTGACTGGTTGTTCTAGTCAGGACCGCCTAAGAAACCTGAGACACACCTGAATGGTTCACCTGGAGGAAGACTGGGGAAGGGGGGGATATTTATCCCTCACTCCCATCCTGTGCTCTCTACCCCACACACTGGGTTGAACATGCATCAGGGCAGAGGGCTCACCTGGGCTCTCTGGCATCTGAGAACCCCTGGGGTGGAAATCAAGAGAATGAGATCCTGTCAGGTCCTGGGCCCAGTCACTGCAACAGTGGCCCACAAAGACACAAGGCCAAGAGGATAGGGA